GGTTTAATCCCTTCTGGGCTTATTGTGTGACCGAGAAATTCTAACGTTTGAACACCGAAAACACACTTACTTTGATGTATGTTTATTCCATGTTCATCCAGTCTTTTCAACACTGCTTGTACATGCTGTTCGTGTGATTGCAAATCGGGGCTGGCAATTAACAAGTCGTCTATATGCCCCTGCGCAAATGGCATATCTCGAAGTAGGTTGTCTATGAATCTTTGAAATGTCTGTGCCGCGTTTCTCAGGCCGAATGGCATGCGTACAAACTCGAATAAGCCAAAGGGTGTTGTAATAGCTGTCTTCGGAATATCTTCATCAGCCACTGGGATATTGTGATATGCCCTGACTAAGTCAATTTTAGTGAATATGTTCATACCCTGTAAACCGTTGGTGAAATCTTGGATATGAGGTATTGGGTACCTATCTGGTACGGTTTGACGGTTTAGGGCTCTGTAATCCCCGCACGGTCGCCAGTCACCTTCATTCTTCTTTGGGACCATATGCAAAGGGGATGCCCATTGACTATCAGAGGGACGGATAATACCCAATTGTAGCATATAATCAAACTCGGCCCTAGCGATTTTGAGCTTATCTGGTGCTAGTCTCCTGGGTTTTGCAAAAACCGGTGCACCTTCGGTTTTGATAGTGTGACTCACTTTTAGTTTGTCTTTGGAAGGCTGTGGGTTTGGTTTAGTTAAGTTTGGAAATTCCGCGAGTATATCTTGGAATTTCGCTGTTGTTACTGGAGGAGTTTGAATCAAGTTAAGAGAGCTGATGTGACTTTCTTTGCCTTTTGTGTAGTACGAAGTTTCTTTTAGTGTTAATCGCCGTTTCTTGGTGTCAACTAGAAATTCGTATCTCTCTAGAAAGTCCATCCCCAGTATTGCCAGATCTAAGTCGGCTACCGTGAAAACCCAAGGGAATTGCCTCCTGAACCCCAAATCTAGGGTTAAAGTTTTCTGCCCAAATGTCGCAATTTTAGTTTTATTTGCAGCTTGAAGTGTAATTGATGATGTTTCTCGACTAATCTCAGTTTTATTTTAAGGGATGATGCTAAGAGCAGCGCCAGTATCCACCAAGAAATTCAAGCTCGAGTTTCTGTCTCTAACATAAAACAAGCGACTGTTTAGGCGCCCCTCCTCAGTCGTCGCGACCTGGGGAGGGGTTACTCGTTTCCCGCTGTCTTAGAATTATGTTTAGGCCAGGCGCATGGTTGCATGCACTTGGTTGAGTTGACACCAAACTTCCAGTGGTACCAACAAAACTGCCCAGATTTTCTGGACTTTTGTGACCTGTTTTGTGACTTGGATCGTGATCGTTGTGGTGACCTGCTCCTGTTTCTATGACCCATTCGCATTCTGGTGGCAGTCTCAGTGAGACTCTTAACACTCGCAATGAGTCCTTCTATTACGGGTCTTTTGCTGATTCTACTTTTTGTGTGTGATTTATTGTGCCTGATCCAGTTGGAGGACCTCTTTCCATTATTCTATCGGCTATACGCGCTAAATGAGATAATGAGGTTTCAGGATCTTGTGCATCCAAATAGTGTTGGACGTAGCATGGGAGAGCTTGTATCCATCCTTGTTTTAGGACTGCTTCACCCACTGTGTTATCACCCACTAAAACTTGGAGGTGACGTAAAAACTGTGACGGCGACCGATCACCTAGTGTTCCACCTTGAAAAAGTCTTTGGATTCTTTGACTATCTGATAATGATAAACGGTTCATTATCTCTCGTCTTAAGATGGTGTATGGTTGTGGTGATGGTGGACTTAAAATCAAGTCACGGACTTCTTTGGCGACTGAAGGAGGAAGGATAGAACATAAGTCTCTATAGCGAATCCCTTCAGATTTGATATTGTGTCTCGTGAAATAATGCTCTAGTTGAGCAAACCACAACTCAGGATCACTACGATCAAATTCTGGAAGTCGAGATTTCGTAGTCATAACAGTGCCTATCTCCACTGGTGACAAATCCTCCAGATTATGGGTTTCTATTGAGTCTGACATGAGGTATGTGACAAATATAACAATAAAGTTAGCACAAAAAGTGGTTACTATAACACGAATAACTTAAGATAATACGGAATAAACTAGTTATATACTCAAATTAGTTTACGGATAATCAGGTCTACTTTTACGATTGAGTAAAAAAATGTTAATAACAGAAATGAGGTTAAATTTGTGTTCAAAAAGGGCTCACCAATTTCGTGCCTTAAAGTAACCCTCGTGCTATTGATAGAAGAAAACAGACAAATAGTGAATAGGTCTTTATTTCGATCTTAGCGCGGTCACAGTGGAGCGTGGGATTATCTGTTCAGACAAACAAAGGCTCTCAACATTCAATATAAGATAATAGGGAATATAACGCTTATACAAAACAAGGAAGTGAATAAATACTTGAACAATACTGTTTTGGCATACGCTTGGTTGTTTGGGGTCAACTCTTAACCAACCAACCTAAGCTGTTACAGGTGTTACTGATTAAAGCATTGTCAAATTCCAAATGCCTGTGGCATCTTCAATCCTTGCCACAATCTAGGGACGAAATGAGTTTTGATCCTCAACATAAAGATTTACAGAAGTCCAGTAACAAGTTCAAGCATGTAAGAAACTAAAAGATAGAGGTAAACACTAGAAGTGAACAAATATATTCAGTTCAAAAATGTTAATGGTCGTGTTATTAATTTTTCGTCGGTTTGATATGTCAAGTGTCCTAGCAACACATCAACATCGTCAACCCTACCATAATTCCTAAGTTAATACGTTCTTTCGGAAGCTTGGCTTTGGAAATGCTGGATGAAAACCAAGCCCAGGTAGGTTTTTACCTAGTAAACATGAAGCTTTCGTCGTTTGGTTAGTGAAAATGTAGTCACTTCTGAAGCCTATCCTTTACGGCTTCAAAAAGCCAAATGAGTTACATTTTCAGATGATATTAGTCCTTGTTATCATTAGAAAGCTTAAAGTTGTCATCTACGGAGAGATTTCCAAACTGTACGAGACAAAGTCAGGACTCGTAGGACCATATTTTCATAATTCTTGAACCACATTAACTGGACCGCTATCATTTTGCTTCGGTTAAGATTTATTCTTGTTGACTAATTTTGTTATAGCTTGATGCCGAACCATTGGCGATAAGGTTGTGTATGACTGAATTTTGGGTTCCTTTTTCTCACTAGAGCCGTATAAATAAGCCATAAAATGTGCTTTGATGTAATAGTTTAGTGTGAATGACTCAAGTGAATGTAATACGCTACACAAAATAACATATCACGCGCTAACCTAGTTTATATATATTTCTTTTGGATCATCTGCGTTCAGATCAAATTCCAGGATTTGGGTCGTAACTATTTGTATTAGGCTTTTTAATCAATTATATTTGGTTGATCTAGGTCAGATCCAAGTAAGCGTAAGGAATGACTTGAGGTTGACTTTGCATGAGATTCAAGATACTTTAGAGCTGGTACATCATAGGAAATTTTGAAGGTGGTGGATTTTATGGGATGAACTTGAAGAATTCGACTGACCATTGAGTGTGAATCTCAACATAATTGTTTTCATAGAGTTTTGGACATTTTTATTTTATGGAAACCATGAATCGATCTAAGTGAAAATACCACTGAGACCAAAAAGCACAAAAAATCGATCTGTCTTATTGCGATGCTTTTCAGCAGCAGACTAGAACCTAAGAAATGTCGAGCTTCAAACCGCAACCCGCTTAAGGAAATGAACGATTCTTGCGCAATGTCGCAGATTGATTGGGACCAAGCGTCATTACTGTTGGATCACAGCACAGCGGTCAAAATATTGAGCGTTTGCACATGAGACTGGTGGTGACAGTTTTAATCCGTCGTGCGAGATTGTGAATTCCCTCTGCCGCGGAGCCCCATACTAGGACGAAACCCGTATCCGGTGCTCTCAGGTTTCCAGTGGTGGTCATGTATTAGTGCAGGTTCCCAACCATACGATCCTTGAAGTCGAACATACCATAACAGAGATTAACATTCAATATTTAACACTTGGAGGTCAAAATTGTGAGCGCAGAAAGACCTTATCTATATGGTGTTTATATGGCAAAGAGGGCCACATCATCCAGCTCAGAGACCGAAATCCCACCGCAGTCAAAACGTTTTAACAATCACGATGAGTTATAAATTAACCGTACATCCAACAGTAGCTTCGAACTCATCGGACTGACAATAGAAAGACTCATTTTCACGACGCATAGTAAAGATAAATCTAGATAATTGATAATAATAATAATCTAGATAATTAATAATAGGAAACGCTCGCAATCTGAGACTATAAATTGTCAAGTGTCTTTGTAGACGTTGTGTCTACTCAATTCTTACATTGCCCTATCATCTAAGGTGATCTTCGGAGTTCATTAAAAGGAAATCTGACACTTTTGGCACCAAGAAGGGCACCTCAAATCGGCTCACCAAATATTCCTTTATATGTCCATATTTCAGATATATTGGTCACTTCAAAGAAGCTCCGTGATCCGTTGCTACTAGGTGTTAATATGTTTCATCATTTTCCTACCTCCAGAACAACTAACCTCCGAGCTCATAGAAAGAGGGTTCACAGACTGCGATCTACTAAACTTAAAGTTGTGTGCCGTTTTTCTCATTGAGTAGTCAATGACTGGAACGCCTTACCCGAACAAGTGGTATCAGTCACATCAGTGAATATTTTCAAGGGGAATCTGAACCTTCACTGGAAAGCAATCTACCAGGATTAATACAGATTCACCAACCTACTATCCTTATTATCGAAGACTGAAGATATAGAAACTCGTTGAACGAAAAATTCTCTTATTCATTTCATAACCAATTTTAAGTACTTGAATATACCAAAGTACAGAAAATATTTCACTCAGGTGGATGGTTAAACTTTATGAAGAATCTGGAATCATTACTTGATGTCAGAATGCAGGACACAAGCAAATCGATTGATATACATTCTAAATATTGAATATTTTTGATGAATGAAGTGGGAATTTCAACACGGCTAGGTCATTTGCAGTAACGAGCAGTCTGCTGGTTAGTAAGATGGCTTCCGATTCTATTCAGGTTCGTATCGTCCTTTGGAAATTAGTGTTTATTTTGTAGAGGAAAAAAGTTAGGTGCTTACAAAACGAATATGATAAACTTCTCCAGTCCGCCAATTTTTCTGAAATTAAAAAATTGTTGGAAGAAGGTGAAAAGCTACGGTATCAAGCAAGCCATCTGGAAAAGGTAGTAAAGTATAATGCTTACTGTTTTAGTATCTGAAACAATTGGACAACCGTGTGCGGTATAATTCTATAAGTATCCAAGCTACCGTAGCTGCTTTGTTTGATTACGCTATAAAAACAGTGTTCATAAATACTAAACACTGTGTACAACTCAATGTTCCCACTAAGCGCAGTTTTGGGGATTATCAGTGCAACTCTGCTCTTAGCATTCGAAAAGTATGTACTGAATAATGTCACTATTGCTCAGGAGTCGAACAGTGATCAAAATCCATTTGATATTGCAAAATCTATCGTTGCCGCTTTACCTGTCAATGACTTAATTGAGAGAGTAGACGTTGTTCTTCCTGGCTTCATAAACATTTGGATTAAACAACAATTCATTTCTGCTGAAGTCAGAAAGATTTTACTTCATGGGGTTACACCCCCATTCATACCTCATAAATACTCTGTGATTGTCGACATGTCCTCTCCAAACATCGCCAAAGAAATGCATGTGGGACATCTAAGGTAGGAGTCGTAACGAAGTATCAACTCTTTCGCCTATTTTGGGCCTTACTTGTGTTCCCACCTTGTCAATTAGGCGTAAAGAAAATCAGCAGAAATAGAAAGCTTACTTTTGTATATCCATGGTTAAGGACTGTCAAAAAGTTTCTGAACCTAGTCGGTTAAGTTTCTCGTACTTCGTGTCATCTTTTAATTCTGCTAAATACTACTCTGTGATTCCCTTATTTATTTATTTATTTGAACACATAAATATTGGTACGAAAGTGCACCGAATACGTATGCGCCACACAAGTCACTTGATTTGTGTGTGGGCTGCGATACCGCCCAGGTGCTCAAACTGGAGCAGGTCCTGTATTTTCTAGGCAGAAATGGTTTGTAGTCTGTGCATTATTGTCAGTATAACTTCGGCATCATAAAGTCCCGTCTACTAGTTTCTCTAGAGTTTAATAAACATCTGACAATTTATTTATTCTTAGTTGTGCCCAACATTACACCGTTAATTATAAGACTTAAGTTCTGCTACACCTACTTACGTTTGAATAGCCAGTTACTACCAGCTTTCTTAAAGTTTGGTTCAGACCGGGGATACAAACTTTTACTTGGTATTTAAATTACATTAATTAATTCTAGTTTAAAACTTAGAGGCACCATTACTTATGTCAAACCTATAGCACTATTACTGTAACTCCGTCATCACTTAGAAATGTGTAGTTCCCTCCCTCGTAACAATCTTTCCTTGTCAGAAATGACTATTTTCCGATTGGTCCCAAATCACTGCGATCACTTCAAATATCACTACCCTGACTTACATCTTGGGTCTGTTGCTATGGCTCAGTAAACTATACTGTTATCAATTATTTCCTTCCACGGATTCATCATCCACCTCATACGATATGGTTTGGGCTGTTTGTAGTATTTTTTTTATCTCTCTATAGCATGATTCATCTTACTCCATAATCACACTTATTTAAAGTGTTATTTAAACATTTGCACAGTAAACTATACTTCACCTTTACAGTGAGTATAGGTTGTTTCAACTAGTAATGAAAGCACCTTTAATGTAAGTACAAAATAAAGCTTACTAAACTAATAAATCTATTTCATAGTTGTCTAGTGTTACTCTCTAAGTGGACTGTTTTATGTGAATGTTTATTTGTAATTACATCAATTAAACTTCGCAAGCGAATTCAGGACTACCGGAGTCACTCTCAAATGGCTAATAAAGATAAGAAATTCTGTCTCTAACTTTATCAACCAAATAATGCCACACCGTTGTCCTGCTTAAATTGTATCGCCATATTTACTTAATACACAAAATACTGGTACGATTGGTCATCAAATTAAATGTGCGTCACACAAGTAAGGAAATTAACTTGTGAAGAGATACATTGAGGAGGGGTAGGATAATGAAAAACAAATAAGTGGATTAAAACAAATTTACATTACTAATATATGGTGGGAGAAACAATTCAGTTAAAAACAACCAGAAAAAATTCAGTCGACGGGGTTCTGTTCATTTCTGTATGAAGAATTTTAAAGAAAAAGACTACAAGATCGCTATTGGCTTCTGCTTTGAACTATGTACGATAATGTCCCAGGTCATTGAATTACATCACCTCTTGGAGTACAACCATTGAGTCATGATGGGCCAAAATATGTCAGTCCTATACAACTTTCTTTCGTACCACTGCGCCATATCATAAACTGACCATCCCCCCTCTTCCATCCTTTCCCAGCGCCAGCAAATATTTCAAGATGTAGAAGTCTTCAGGATGATATCGTAAAACACTTCCAAGCCACTTCCGAAGCCGGTGTTTCAAGTTGGTGACACTAAATAAGTTATCGCCAGTGCGCTCAAATACGCATTTAAAAACCTTAGCATTATTGGCATTGTGTTGCCAATGGATGTCAGCAGCCCTTCGAAGACGGTGATCGAATACGAAAAATCGCGGAACATCCTTAACTCAGAAGGACCAGGTTGTTCAAGCACAAAACAGAATTGCCTTCACCAGCACGTTGTAGTCACCAAAGTTTACAACCAGACTAACATCTAAACGTCGCCAAATATGCTCTGACCTAACATGAGTCACTCTGGCTCTGATTATGCTTAGATTGATCTTATTAGTCATGCCACTACCAGTACGCACACACCTACCCAGGCACGCAAAATTTACGATTACTGATGTCTCACTACGACCACCGAGGACAGGCATAGGCTCCTTCCAGTCGGATCGAAGGCGACTCTGATATCAAGAAACACAACTGTTCGTCTGAAGTTGATGTGGCGGTTCTCTAACATCCGGCAAAGAGTGAAAATATCATTAATACATCCGAAAATTGACCAAAAGCAGCTTGCCTCCTACGGGCCAATCCTACACTGGAGCCAACAGTTTGGAGTCGACCGAAAGTAGACTTATCCCCTTATAATATGTATGGATGAATTAGGTGTGGACGACAATTGCTTCACTGATGGGTGTTGGAACACTCGATTTCCCGAACTTTTCCAATTAACCCCGTCAGTTACTTCACTAAATTTTCACCATCATCCTTAAAACTAGCTGAGGGTGTAGGTCTTCTGTGCCTATTGGCCTGTGGTGCTTCAGGAGTTGGAGTGTCGTTATATAAGAAATAAATTTGAAACAATCTTCATTTCAGTAAACATATATTAAACTTTTTAGTGCTCAGATATTACCAGATAATTCCAATTTAAACATAGAAAATTAAAAACACGAAGTTCAGCGAAGGGATGTCTTTTCAACGAATTTTTTGTCAAGCTGTACAATCGTATATATGTATGAAAATCTTTTTGTTAAAGTACTAATTCCATGAGGAATGTGGACACGAATAACCAAGATGACGTAATAGAAATATTATAATACTAGATTACGTAATACGGATTATAACAATAGATTTTGTGAATATCATAAGATGATTAGAATGTTTTTGTTGCAATAATTAAAGGTCATAGAGGTGTAAAATTAGTAAGGTGATATGATGAGCATTTATGAATAAAATAATAAGAATATAAGACAAGTAAAGGGGAATGCAGTATTAATAATACTATCCGACACGTTTACTTGGTGTTATTTTTCTGTTACAGATCAACTATTATTGGAGAAAGTATTTCCCGTTTGCTTTCATTTTTGGGTCACAAAGTACTGAAACTCAATCATCTTGGAGATTGGGGAACACAGTTTGGGATGTTAATAACCCACTTAAAAGAAATATATCCTGATCATAAAACTGCACCTCCGATATCAGACCTTCAAGCTTTTTATAAAACTTCCAAAACTAGATTTGATGAAGAAAAAGATTTTAATCAAAGAGCACATGTGGCCGTTGTTAAACTTCAACAAAATGATCCTGAGTATGTACATGCTTGGAAACAAATTTGTGACATATCACGAAAAGGTATGTAATTGGAACCTATTCATAGTACTTATTTATTTTATTTATTTGAAAACATAAATATTAGTACAAAGGAGCACTGAATACATATGCATCACACAAATCCCATTTGATTTGTGTGAGGGCTGTGATGCTGCCCGGGTGCCCAGAACGAAGCAGGTGATTTTCTCAGGGGGCCACACCCGGAGCCTCCAACCTAAAGGTCTGGTCCGCAAAACAGTGGAGCAACGTAAGGAAATGCAGTACCATGATAGCCAGTGACCAATAATTGGTTCATATGCCATTTCCCCCCTCAAAATCCTGGAGCCCATGTACATCATTGGTTTGGAATCAGGGTTCTCCAACTCACCTAGGTGGACTCTCCGTGTTCACCAACCGGTAAAGCGCCGGACATTCGCTTTTCGTTCTCTCCACTTCGTAAACGACAGCCCCGCCACGAGAGGGCAGTGAGTAGGACTTTCTTGGCAGCGGTTTTATGCGCGTGGCCATGTGAGAGCATTTCGAGAGGAAGAGCTGACTCTCCCCACTCTCGGCCGTACCAGGGCATTTGGGGGTGCTATTCATAGTACGAGCATAATGCGATATATTATTGTCACAGTGTAATCACTAGATTTCTCATAATTATCAAGTTTATTCCTTTACCAGGTTCCGAAAATTTACTAATATCAGATACGAAATCCTTTTCCGATACATACTTTTTCCGGTCTTGGGGGTACTATATATGCAAAACTACTTATATAAAATGAAGAATTCACTACCTTACATCAGTAAATTTTCTAAGCCTGGTGAAGAAGGGAATGAAACCGATATAATCTGATAATGGCCTACGTATATAGTAAGGGGAATTGGAAACAGTTCTTTAATCACATCCACAAAGCTCGACAAATTAATACTCTCAGGTCCTATACTACCTAGACTATATGACATATCCAAAGTACATAAAGCTGGATTACCTCTTCACCCCACTGTAGGCATAGTTGGATCACAGTGCCACATGATTACAAAATGGTTAATTCATGAATAAATCGATTCGAATACAAGTCTGTAAGTACTCTCTAAATAATGCCGTTTAATTTTTTGTGTTATAATAAGACGATAATCGCGACAGATATTAATTTTGTATTTATAAACATATTGTTAACATAAACGGTGTTTTATTCGTGATTTTCAGTTGATTTTTCATAGGTTCACAGTTGCACTGGAAACTAGTGTGTGTATACATTCATACCTAATTATTATATGTTGAGTGGCGGGACGAAATCTGCGGAAATCACTGGGTTAGGTTTCTCGTTAGTTAATACTCGTCAGCGAAGCGCAATCTCAATTTCTGGGGAAATTGTGGTCGCTATAGTACCGAAAACTACATCACCCAGTTTCGGTAGAGTTTAGTCATCAGTAAGGACAGGAAGACATGAAGTTCGTTACCAGCCAACAATCAGTTTTTGCGATTAATGGATCTAATGCTGGTTGTCATCATATTCAATACAAATTTATCATCTCACTATTCTATTTTCAGAATTCGACGATGTATACCGTCGACTGGGTATTGAGAATCTTATTGAGCGTGGAGAATCGTTTTATCAAAGTCGAATGGAAGAGTTTGTTAATGATCTAAAAAGTCAGAATGTTCTGCAGGAAGATGAGGGTAGATTAATTTTGTGGCCACCCAAATGCGAAGTTCCTCTCACAGTTGTAAAATCAGATGGTGGTTTTACCTATGATACATCTGACTTAACTGCTTTACTTCAGCGTTTGCATGAAGAAAAGGCGGATTGGGTCTTGTATGTTGTGGACATGGGTCAGGTAAGTGGAATTCATTTATGCTGAAGTTGGTCACTAATCTCTCCCAAATTTTCTCTGATTAGTGACAGGAAGAAAGACTAAATATTCATGTCTATTTAGCAACCAGGAGATAACTAAGAGATGCTTTAAATTTCGTGTCAATAGTGCAACTGCAGTTGGTAGGTAAAACAGAAAAATGATTTTCATGAGAACTGAAGAATATATGAGACAAATTAAAGGATCTCACAATATTGACACGAAAGGATCCCAGGTCGTTGTATGGGAAGAGGGAAGCGACATGATGCTCAAGGTCTTAATTTACCGGAGTGAATTATCTGCAAAATTAATACCGTTTAACCATCTATGACACCTAGTCGTGTTAACGTTTTGCGGATAGAAATGTTCTTTTTATTGAAAAAAACCTCGTGTACTGGGCAACTGTTTTGTCGTCTGGTATCATTTCATTGAGGGAGTGGGATACTTACATCAATAATTCGACCTCATAACCAGTTATCACTAAGCCACATTATATTGCTGCATATTATCAATCGGTAGGCATGAAGTTTATTAATTTAACAATCCCACGACTGTTTTTTGATAGCAAATTTTAACGTTCTAATTTAGGGCATCGGTCTTGTTACCATTCTTATCTAAAAAAATACTACTCAGTGTCTGAATCATTACTTGTTTCTACAATGTAGGATTTACGAGACGTTCAGTTATTTAAAATATCAACAACCACTTGTGTAATTAATATACCTTTCTGTACTAATGTGCTGCTTTATTTTAGTCTGTTCACCTTAACACGGTATTTGCGGGTGCAGAAATGCTTGGCTATTATAATCCTAATGTACACAGAGTTCAACACATTGGATTCGGTGTGGTGCTCGGTGAAGATAAGTACGTTTTTTACTTCATTTTTGGTTTTTATATGATATTTGCAAATTTCTAAGAGTTCATCGGTCCACTAAACTATGTTATTCATGAATCGGAAATGTAACTAGATGTTTTTTTCGGACTATAGATCACACCAACTTTCTTAATAAATCTTCACCAATTCAAACCTTCATATTAACCGGCTAAAACATTGTCTACCAACATAGTTTACAATTACACAGTGTGTTAAGAATACTACCACATAATTGGATTAGTAGTACTTACTGAAGAACGTTCATTAATCAATGTGATAATAAAAAATAGACACATGGAATACCGTGATTAAATGAAACATTGTTTAACGCATGAGACTTTCGTACATGGAAAATCAAGCTCCCCCTTATATTCACTGTTTAACAACCAGTGACTGAAACTAAAGATAATTCAGCGAAGAAGATTTTCTTTTCAACGAAATCATTTACTCAAGCTGTACATTCGTATTTATAGTTATATGGGAAAGATTAATTGGACCCCAGAATACTAGACTAGTCATCTTAAAAAGCACGGTACAGTGAAGTTTTTCTCAGTCACTTATTTTTCTTACCATCATGTTTAAACTTATTTGTTTGTTTTTATCGATGGAATACATTTTCCTTGGATCATTTATTAAGGAAAAAATTTAAAACTCGTTCCGGTGACACAGTTCGTCTTGTTGATTTATTGGATGAAGGTCTTGAACGAGCAAAGAACCGATTGCTTGAGAAAGAAAGGAATAAAGTGAGATATTTTGAAATTGAAATAACTCTTTCATGATTTTCGGTCATATATCGCTGTATATATATAGCAGTTAATGAGCACCTTGAGTCCTTTCATATGGTTTAGAAGTTTGAGCGTTATATGTACGCCGGTAGATTTGTCATTAAAAAGTTTGGCAACCGCAGGTTCGAACCCAGCTTCGTCTGCTTCCGTTTAGGCAACAGGCTAGTATAACTCGATCTTACGTAAAAATTGTAGTTTAAGGCCAAATACGTAAATGTGTACTTGGTGAAGTTACAGACTAATTTATTGGGGTTGTTTTTTAACACATTCAAACCCATCATATAATCCAACTAAGCCTGTAGAGTAATAAAAATCACATAATTAATAGGCTCATTGTATATATTGGTGGCCATCACAAATTTCGATGCAGTAGTATTACTAATATTAATTTTAAAACTTGATTTTTGTCGTGGATATATTGCGATAGCACAGTTAGTCATTTATCTCAATAATATGGTTTGTCTTTTCATCTGATATGCTGAGGGCTCAGATAAATGTGTACATTTGTGTAATTCTAGATAATCTATATTTTATATAACATACGTATGCCCCTGTTCAGTTAATTTAAGAAATCATAGTTGAAATTGAAATGTATCCTGTTTTAAATTCGATGGCTTTCTAATTTATTATCATCTAGTTTTCATATATTTCATGTCCTCCTCCCAAATAATTATTTCCCCAAGCATAAAAATTAATCCTACATTGGGCATTTTATACTGAACATTATAGTATTAAACGTACAGAGAGTAGGACAATAAACTCTCTTCTATTTGCAGATCTTATGTTTCTGTTCTTTTATTTTCTTCTCTCTTTTTTAAAGGAGCTAACTGAAGCTGAATTTGAACGAGCTCAAAAGGCTGTAGCATATGGTTGTATTAAGTATGCTGATTTATCACATAGTCGAACAATTGACTATGTATTCTCATTCGATAGGGTAAGTAATGGTGATATGTAGGAGAAAAGTGGTCTGTTATTATCTTTATTAAAAATATTTGGTAACAATTCAATCGAACTTATAAAATAATGTCTAATAGCTAAAGTTAATAGTTGTGTGGTTTTTATACATTGGTTACTGAAACCTTAGTTGATATTAAAAATCGAAATTTATGTTAGTCCTTAAAATTGGACGAACTATTTCGCTGTATAATTTACACGTTTTATTTGTCACACATTAATATCAGTCCAGGTGTTATTGAAAACAAGGAAGCACTAAACAACAGTGCACACCCATGACCCAACCAGAGATCGGACCTAGGATATTCATGTATTGTGGTGAGCCTCTATTTTTAACCATTTGCCTGGGATCCATTGGTTTACATTTCTAACTTCAATCAGTTTTGCAACCGTTCTACAATGCCATTGATGGGTAACAACTTCATTTAAGTGGTCGTTATGTGATACTGTTTTTCTCATTAAAAAAGCCTACTTTTCCATAAAATAATCCATTTAGGATGCGATTGATTATCCTATCTTCACAAGACCCCTTTTGACCGTCTCACTGTATATTAAATCTTCAATGGATCACTTAGTGTATTTCATACTTTAAACAATTACTGAAAAATACTCCAAATTCAATTAGTTTTAGTTCTTTCAAGAAAAAGTTAGTAAATGCAAATATAATTTGATATTTTCTAAGATGTTACGTTTTATTGCAAGAAGTCTTCATAAACTATATCCTTTAGTTGAACGCTGTTTTATAAAGAAATTTTCACTGATTTCAACATATTTTAATGTCTGTAGATTCAATATTTGTGTTACTAAGCTTAATTCATATTAACTGACGTTATGTTTTAATCTGTTAGGTTGTATATACCATAGATATCACTATGTAAGAAATAAAAAAACCATTACTATTTCTCATGTCTTTTAAAATTGCCTACCTGTGTGTTAACTAGTATCAGTATACTATTTGACTAAGTGATCTGTTAATTTATTAAAATGTGTGCCAGGAATATTGTGAATCTGAGTGCTAAAAACAATACAGATTATAAGAACTAAATTAACTAGTATATACTGACGAATCAGTAATAAGGATATAGGAAACCAAAGATAAGTGTCAGTATAAGCAAGTTATATATATATATATATATATATATATATATATATATATATACGTAAATGTGAAAAGCAAACAAAAAATAGTTTAGTAATAGGTAAAATACGGAGACAAACAGGGTTTCCAGATTTCTGAGTGCTTAATTTTTAGTTCAAAAGGATTTTAATTACTGATCGGATTAATGATGTAACTCAGTAATTAGGAAGTAATCTATCATGTACTCAGAGTACTGATACTATATGGTTAGCTAAATTAAAAGTGGAACGGAGTTCGAACGTACGACACAGTAACCGAAGTTTCTAGTCATTTAACAGCTAAGTTGTTACAACTCATTCGAATTAATGTCGAAGTACACTGAATATTCAACCGCTTTCTGTGAATAGTTTTTCACTGAAATTTGTCTAGATCTTGTTAAAATGTCAAACAAATCACTGAATAAAAATTAAAATTTTTGTTCTTTAACTTTTAAATGTGAATTTCAGATGTTGGATGATAAAGGAAACACTGCAGTTTACTTGTTATACGCATATACACGGATCAGGTAATTACTTATATATATATATATATATATATATATATATATATATATATATATATATATATATATATATATATATATATATATATATATATATACATCAGTCTAAGTCGCCACACTTCATTAGCACAACAAGCTGTTTTTGATTAGTCGTAAGGTCAAGGGACCGAGGGTAAATCGAACATGTTTCACACCATCAATAATGTCATTACCCTTTTCACTGATCACCTTTATCAGTATGCGCCCTTTTGATGGTCACCACCCACTAATGCTCGATCTTATCACAGTATATTCTTTTTGTCTGAGCCCTCAGTAGTGTGAACCATAAAAGTGCGTAAGATATTTATTACTGCCTAATTTTTTTTAAGTACATTCCGCTTAATTGTATTTTAAGTAGGAGTAATGTCGTAGAATCAATGCAGCTTCTATTTAGCAGTTAAGATACTTTTCCAATTAAACATGATGTAATTTGGTTGAATTTGTTTGGCAGACGGCTATGGCATACAATAGCGCAACATTTAGGAAAAAACCTGGTTATATAATAAGATTATTATTACAAAGGTTGCTGACTGAGGAAATACTGCCTTGACTATTTTCTTTCCATAGAATTACTTGTTTTTCACTCCAACACCAAATGTTTATTTTAGTAGTGTTATGATTATCAAAAAAAGCTAATACAGTATTGTTTCGATCCATTTTGATACGTTTAGAGGGTAACTTTTGGTATTGGATAACATTACTAGTATTTCGTTTCACATACAAAACTGATATTTATTTCCATTTAAAAATGTTTATCACTGATGTGACTCGTTGATTTCCAAGTACTTTTTTTCAAAAACACAATAGAGTTATCGTCGTATTGAAATATCACTGTATATTTTTGTCTAAGCTCTAAATTACCCAAAACGTGCACTAACTTCACACAAGCCAATTGTATGATTATTTTATCTTATATGGTTTTATTTTACAGATCAATTATAAGAAATGCAGGTTATTCTGAAAGAACAATCAATGAAATTAGTGAAACAGTACCACTGAAATTTGAACATCCTATGGAGTTGACATTAGCCAAAGCATTATGTCGTCTACCAGATATTCTACTAAAAATTCAAAATGACTTTCTATTGCATAGCCTATGCGATTATTTGTACGATTTGAGTTGTGACTTTACAAACTTTTACGATGCATGTTATTGTATTGAACGGAATCAAGAGACCGGTAAGTGTATGTATTTGTCTACTTCTTCAATAAAGTTAATCATTTTTTAGTTGACGGCATTAGATTCGTACTGTTACATGATTAGATGTCTTATTTTTATTTGTTTTCTGTTGTGAATAACATTAGTAACTAGTGATTGAAGTACATAGTGGTGGTTATTCGATCAAGTTTTCTTTTACTCATCTACATTTTACAGTGAATTTAATTCGTAAAAATTAGTGCCTAATTTATAATTTATCGTACAGTAATTTCCAAATGCTTTTAATTAGTAGTGTGTGCGTAGGATAGTAAACCAGGAATACTAATTATAACAATTGACTATGAGTGAAATCAAGATTAAGATAATGAACTATGATTTTTGTCGAAATTGCCGTTTTAACTGATTGGTTTAATCGTGAAGCTTTCAATATCTTTCTACATAACACCAGTATATAACTCCGAAATTCATCCACAAGTGACTAACAGCTTATTCGTTCGACCTTGAATTAGATTGGTTGTTGCATCAGATCATTCCTTCTGAACTGCAAATTTTAGCCATTATTTCATTTAAGACTATTTTAACGTCAATACACAATGTCATACCAGCGAAAAGATTTTCTAAAAAAAATTCTTTATCGTCAATGCTTTATTTTGGAATGATTCATTCACTTTTCGACACGTTGCATTTTACTGTTTGTAATGTGGATCTTTATTTATTCATTCTTTTTAGGTGATGTTCAAATTAATAAAGAACGTATTGTATTATGTGAAGCTACTGCTCGAGTAATGAAATGTGGATTTGATATACTTGGAATTGAAACAGTTGAAAAAATGTAAATGTTTTTGTGTTCAGTTGAACAATAAACAACATTTGTACAAAAGGAGTAGATATGTCTCTTTTCTTAAAAAAAGCTTATTCTATAACATGTTAATCATGGTGTCGGAGTAGATGTGTAGAAATTCAAAACAACAATAGAAGTAGTAGTAATAACATAGAAAGATTTCTTTCCCGTAATAAACAATACTATTTACAACGTATTCAAAGGAATCAGTCATTAAATATTCTTATACTTATTAGTAGTCTATCTGTATGTTGAATGAAATAATGTAGATTTTTGCACAGTTTGAGTTTAATTCTGGGATGATAATTACATACACCTATGGAAGACATCTAATTAATTAATTTACTACTTTTAGTTATCACTATTTGATAAATTACTATGAATCCCTTGATTCTACCTACTATAAGTCTACTATCGACCGAGTACGATTAAAAAACACATATGTGTACTAATTTTTTCTAAACCACGAAGGGAGTTGCTGGCTGACTCGTTAACTAAGTTATCTGGTCATACATCTGAGTAGTTAAATAATCAGTGGTATATCAAAATCAGGTGAATTATTCCGCATTTGACGAACCACAATAGGTCGACTAGAAAATGACAAACAGATTCCTTAACACAACCATTCTCAACTTCACAATTCATCGACAATCCTGAAAAATTGGTGCTTAAACCACTTTCAGAGGTTTTACCGCCGATAAAGTTCATTAACCTGAATTTCATATTGAAACTCGATCAGCAGAATCTAGTTAGTACTAAGGACTAGGAATCATGATGTAGGTTACTACTGAGCGATCAATTACTGTAAATACGACGTAAATAAATTAGCTACGGGCTGAATGCTTCAGTCACATTGTCTCCAACAGACAAATGACTAATACTTGTTCGAAGCATTAGTTTCTTTAGGGTTGTTGACACAAATGAGAAATTAACAGAAATTTGATACCAGGCTTCAGGTTGATTACACTCAATTAATAAGCAACCAATTTTAAGTGTTAGCTGGGACATTGACAATAAATTACCAAGAATTATGTATTTTTCACAGATTGAAATCATGAGTCACTTGAAGCTAGACCACCATTGAAAACCTGGAAGCACTGGACGGCCGTTTCGTTCTAGTATGGGACTCCTTAACAGTGCGCATCCACGATCCCGCACCACGTGGGGCCCGAACCCAGGACCTACTGGCTTCGCGCGCGAGCACTTAACCACTAGACCACTGAGCCGGCATCCAATGGTGTTAATGTCTAACTTCAACCAATCCACGAAGTTGCGCCACCATATACCATTGTCTTCAGTGAGCTGATATCTCACAACAGACCTGGTTGTACTCCACTGGTAATGGCTTCCCACTAGAACTGAGGAGTCCCACACTAGGACGAAACGGCCGTCCGGTGCTTCCAGGTTTTCAATGGTGGTCTAGCTTTAACTGACTCATGATTTCAATCTGTGAAAATTTCTAAAAATCTCCACAAACCCCTTCTGATAATTATGTATTTGCCAAAACTGTGTTTCCTAATTTTGCGGAAATAACCGTTTAGAAGGTTCGAAGTATGCATCATCATTTGTGAGTATCAGTAAGCAATAATAATTTGAATGAAATGGCTCAAAATTGTTTGCAACAGTGCAGGTGCATCCATTCTTTGTCTTCCCCAAATCCAAAGCTTTTGAATTCATCATAATTTTTCTGGCTTTAATTCCATTAACTTATAATTTCTTGAATCGTACCTTCGATGCCTAGTATTTTGTACTACCACCTCTACTACTCTGGGATTTGGATTAATTTCATCTCCGTGCTAAAGGGGTCTGGCAAATCGAGCCGATGTAAACACGTACCAGGTTCTACGTTGTGACTGACTGAAACAATAGTAACGGCATGATATATACACTGCTTGGAATTAAAAATGAACATCAATATCAATTCAAATGATACTTAAAAAGAAGATATTTCAAGACAATTATTTCCCTTATGATGTTAGTGAGATGAGAATCATATCTTACATTCTATTGAATGGGACTGATTCATCGTCATACAGACACATGAAAAAGTTTAAGATAATCTTGAAGTAATAATGAATGAACAAACAATTGCATAAATCCTCACACAAACCAAATGCCTAGTTGGGTATAGGAAGAAGTTTTCAATAAAAAATAGTAAACTTTTTGATGGATGAATATCACAGTTTAAACAGGTGATATATATATATATATATATATGCATATTTCGTAAAGTTTTTGTAAGTCCCTGAATAAGTAGTTGACAACACAATGTGAAATAGCAAAAACAAGGAGCATTTAAATAATTATTCTCTCTCTTGTATAAAGTAGTAAGCAGATGTGGAATAAAGAAGCAGAAGGAATATAAATGACGAAAATACTCTAAATGTCTTCAACCGATTGATTTAAATCAAAGCGTAGAACGCTAGTCCCAGATGCTTCTTGTTGTATACGATCAATGAAAGTCAAATTGATTAAACTGGAAGGTGCTAAACCTACTTCGCTTAAACTAAGATTATCATCGGTTAATTCAACAGGCACCGTCGGAGGCGCATTCGTAAGTGTGGCTGTTTGAATGCTTGGTGGGGCATATAATCGAAATAAATAAGGCTTAGCTAAACATTCAGAAATCCATTGTCGAACAGTTGAAAGTTTATCCATAGCATAAAATGTACCCTGAAAAGTAACAGAATAAGAATTCTTATTAACCATGTGTAAAATGTTAGCACGGTGAATAATATAAAATGAATAAAACTTGGATTAATTTTGATTTGGTTATTTATTCTCTGAAGGAGTGGCTTACACTAAGTCACAAAGCGTCAGAAAATTCAATTTGTCTACGCATTGGGATATTACAAATATATTGATTAATTTATTTATAACAATCTACCCAATGCTCAATTTATTCGAAATTATCAAGCCAAACCTTGGTAATGATACCTACAATATAAAATGGTTTTTTACATAATGATGTATCACTGGAAATTCAGTGCATAACTATGTGAAGAATGTGAAAAGTTCGAAAGAAATCCAGTGATTGACTGAAACTTTGTTGACCGATATAATCAATCACGATCGTGACCGACGTCTTATCTTTAAGCTTGCGAAAACGACTTTATTGTTTTGTAGGTGGGTGACTATGATAACTATCATTATAGACTAATGTTGCGACACACCTGCCCCTCTCCAACTGATTTAATAATAACAACCTTTAGTGTTTAGCGTCCCTCTTACTTAAACCCTACTGTTCTACAAAATCCTTATAAATTTCCTTGGTTTTCAACAAGCTGAATATTGTCTAGAAAATTCAGGTCAAAGAAATTCTCTGATGACCGTCCAACAAAACTGTCAGTGTGTAAAGTACGAGTAATTAATAAGAACATTGGTGAAGTATAATTTATCTGAGATAAATAAGACCAGCCAATCATAAACAACACACGGTGGACGTAGAACACATCAATCAGTTCACTATTGTCACGCTTCATATCAACCCAACAACAGGATTAAAACACGAAGTAGCATTGTGGTGTATGCTGCTTATATTGGTATAAGTAGTATATGACGCGAGTTATAAAACGTAATGTCCGGCAGCAGAAGATGGGGGAAGATCAAGAAAGGAAGAGCGGGAACACAATGCAATTTGTAAGGAAACGCATGAACAATGAAATGTGAGACAATGGATTGATGTTTGCAACAGGAACAGTCCAGGTTGATATGATGGATTGATATTTTGCAAATTAACGACTTGCTATATGGTTTTTCTATTTTACCGAGTAACTCTGTAATTTAGCGCTAAATACATTCGGTTGTCCCACTCGTGTTCTTGTTCACTACGGTATAGTAATACAGTTCAAAAAGAACGAGTGAAACAAGGAAATGAAAGAAAAATTAAAATAACACCTGAAGACTTCAGGGAAACAAAAAGTGTATGCACCTGCATCATTGTAAAGATATCCAACTCTGGAGACCAATTACTTCGTAGATCCCAACCACAAAATTTCCACTGTCCAATATACACAGTCTCATGACTTGATAATGCATTTCAGTCTTGCCAATCCATAGCTTTTTTCAATCTACTTTTTATGATGGTTAACACAACAAATAGGCTTACATGTCAACATGAACATGAGTAAAACATGCTCACAGCCTAGGCAAACGGTTTCATATTCTTATCTACTAAGATAAAACTGACTTTGGGATTGCTTACTGAGTGGTAACACTACGCTTTGTTGTGCTTTGAAGAGACCTACTATTAAATACCAGAAACTTTCGTATATCTTCAAAGCAATATTCGATAACTTCAAAGTAGCAAAAAGTAAACTTTTAACTCATATGATAGACAGATGCACTGCTGACTATGAATTAAATTATTCTATAAGTGAACAGTCAGTTCTCAATTCAAACAATTTGAAATGATTCAGTTGCCAAACATCGACAATAAGTGATAAACGAACCATATGGTTTTTATGGATGTATTAGATATGGTTATTTACCATAATTGACATTTCATGTTTTCTTTTCTGCACTATGCACAAATCAGAGATCTACAGATTGTTTAAGATGAAGCATGAAAATTAGTACATTACGTTTAAAGACTGTGGATAAAATGTTTTTAGGGAAACGACTGTAACATGTAACGTTAACTATAACTGACTAAATAAACACAATTCAGTAAAAAAGGAGAAGCACAAACCTGAAGAAGAAGGTTATCCGGGAACCGAACACGAATAACAGCGTAACGAAACGATTTCATATGTTGCGTTTTTAATCGTTCTCTCATGGCTTTAGTAAGTAACATACGACCTTCTTCTATAATTCGATGTTGATGATCATAACATTTACGAAATTCTTCTTTTGTTAGGGAGAAAAACTCATCAGGAAGATGATCACGCGGAATACACGTCAGAGTACGACCAGTAGCCTGGTAATAAGTTACAAATAAATTCATTAAAATAGTCATATCCGATAATACTAGCCAATTCTAGGGATAATTAAACCATTCTTGTAAAAAGTCAATCTCCCATATTCTTATCGTATGTTGTGTTAAG